GTCATCTGCAGCGCTTTTGGTGCTGAGGAGGACGAAGATTCTGCTCCCCCACTTACTGGTGGTTGAAAAGCGTTCCTGTCAGGAATCTCCAATCCCTTTGCCCTTTGAAAGGACACATGGTTTGCCACATTCACCAAATGCTTCAACTGGGCCAGCCGGTCCTCAGACATCTCTTCGTGAGAATACTTGCAGCCAAATCGCACACGACATCTCCCTTTGAGATAGTAGTCGAAACAGCACTGGTGGAACCCCGCGTCCCTTATTGCCCTTCTGGAAGCATTGTCCCAAGATTTGCCAGGCTCCCAAGTCCCTTCCAATGCCACGTCATCGTCGTGGAGAAACCTGCACGCAGTCCCATATTTACAACCACTTTGGTTATAATACAGACACAGCCGTTTCTTCGTTTCACCCAGCGTAGGCTCACCTTTTGATGTCCCTTTGCCATAGTTGTACTGGGCTCGGAAGGCCCCATCCTCGTCACCAGTTTTTTGGCTGTTCTTTGGCTCAGTTGGCTCTCCTTCAGGCCACCCTTCACCGTAGCGACGATGTTCATAGGAACACCCATCTCCATTTCGACACCTCCCTTGATTGAAGAACCTGCACAGCTTACTGTATCCAAGTGACACAGTTTTCGGAGTCGTGTGAGCCTTTTTGTACTGATCGGGATCCATATAGGTCTCTATCGGCCTGTTTTCCCTCTTGCTCATCTCCTCGACTGCACCGTCAAGCTCTTGCAGAAATCGCTTGGTGTCCAACCACAGCTCGTTCCAAAGCTCATCTTTTCCCTTGCTCAGCAACATTGCCAGTTCGTAGAGCGCGTCGTGGTACTGCTTCCGGGAAAAAGTGGTTGTTTCTTCCACACCGACACGTTCTTTCTTCTCAGGCTTCCAATCATCACTTAGCAAGATGTTGTATGCGCTCCGAGCCTCATTATTCAGGAATGCATGATCTGCAATACACTCCACAATCACGTCCATTGAATGACTCAGCAACATCCCAGTGATTTTGCCCACATAGTCATTATCAATTGTTTCATCTTCCAGGAGATTTCGACAGATCTTCTCTCCATAGAGCTGTTTCTGCTCCGCCTCCTCTTGTTCCCTCGAGGATGCTTTTGACTCGGCGAACCACTCACGAGACTGCGGTTCCTCTGACTTCCAGTCCCATTGACCATCAAAACCTTTGTACCATTGACCAGTCTGCCATGAGCCTGTCCACCATGTACCCCAGCCGCTGTCCTTCCATTTGCGCAGCTTTGGCGAGGAATCCTCCTCGTTCTCTTCCAAAACCAGAAAGGTGTCCAAGATTATGGTACCATCATCTTCCACTCGTTTCACTGTTCCATTGACAGTATCACCAAATTGGAACTGATGTAAATTGTTCCCTTCTGCAGGAATCAATACATTTAGATCACCATAGTCCAAAAAAGCTCCATACCCATTGATGCAGCGCACTAGACCAGTGATCTTATTTCCCTCTTCATAGCAATGTGTCCCAGGTGATTCCAAGGCTCCCGCTCGGGGCACTTTCTTTGCATGCTCTTCAGAAACCATCTCTGTATCATCGGCTCCTGGCGCATCCTTTGTCTTCACCTTTGGGTCACACTGCTCGTCCTGTTCCACGAGTCCCACAAGCTCATCTTTTTTGTGCTCTTGGATTTCAGGACTTCCCTTTTTCTCTGCCAAAGGCTTTGCCTCATCTGCTTCAGTTCGCTCGGTGTCGACTTCCGGTGAACTTCCAGACGGCAACGCTTCTCCCTTCATGGGAGTGGACCCTTCATTGGTGTCCTTTGTCACACCTTCTGCAGCAGGCAAATTTTCTTCCGCTGCAGGGCGATTGAGTTGATCATCCACGGCAGGCACACTTTCTTCCACCGCAGGCTCCTTTGGTTCCATGGTTTCCAAAGGAGAATTGCCACCATCATTGACCACAGCTGCCTCATTGGCTCCGGTGTAGTCCTTGTCATTTCGTTCCTCGCGGCTAATTTCAGGTTGCACCAGTGCGTCCACCTGTGAACCTCCATCATCAGCTGCTGCGGAGACCTGCGCCCCATTGTTGCAGTCGCCCGTGGAACGTACCACCATATGCACCTCAACCCGTGCCTCATTCGCACTCCAGGTACTATCTGGCGCATCGACCCGCGCTTCATTGGCGCTCCAGGCCTCATCTTTCTTATCAACCGTGTCTCCAGCAGTTTCAGAAGTTTCCTTTTCCCTTTGAATGGCAGAATTCTCGGCACCAAACGAAGAGACCTCCTCAGTCGTAATGCACAACTTTTTCTCTTCGTCATCCAAATCTCCAGGGCCATCTTCCTGAACGACAGGCACCACATCCACCACTCGCTCTTCTGTAGCCGACACAATTCCGATCTCCACATTGGGCATTTTTTCTTCTGGACCCACCGATTCCACCGCTGCCACACCCTCAGAAAGCATCCCCATTTCTTCCCGATCCAGATGTTGAGCTTCAGCGATGTCTGCTCGGTTTCCAGAAATCCCCTCTTCATCAGGAGAACCCGAGGTCGGGGCGTCACCACCACCCCTAGGACCGCTATCCCCGATAGTAGAGGAAAAATCCTTTTCACTTACACTATTTACACCGCTGTTCACACTTTCCATGCTACCCTGCTGTGCCCTAGAAGACTCAGTAGATGATGGAGACGAGGTAGCACCCAGCGTTGGCTCATCTTCCACAGGGACAATGCCCATTCCAACACCTGGCCCCTCGCTATTTCCAGCCATTCCAGTCTTCTTAGGCAACACCCATTGGGTATCACCAGTGTCCAAGCAGTAAAAATATTCTCTCCCATCCTCGTGAAAATGGCGTTCCCATGTCTTCCCATCGCAGTCGACGATTGGAAGGTCAGCAGCCTGAGACGCTTTGCCTCCACCACCAGCGTATAAGTCCTCGTCTGACTCTTGCTGTATTCTTGCTGCCTCCAATTCCAGGATTTCTCCTTCGCTCATCACCATAGCAACACGAACGACTCCTTCTGCGTCCCCAACAACGAGGATACTGCTTTTTGTCGCAGCAACAGGCGCAGTTTCTTCCACTTCACCTGTCAACAGATCACCACTTTCAGCCGCGAAACTCACCTTGTTGCGAGCTCGCTTGGAAACAGGGATAACATCCCCAACCAGTTCTGTCTGGCACCCTTGCTCCACCATCTTTGACGTAGAGGAGCTTGTTGTTGGCGCTCCCGTTGATTCAGCAGATTCCGCAGCTCGAAGAAGATGCCCATGTTTGCTCAGAAGGCGCAGCAAAACTGCTTCCATCTGGTCTTCCAGTCCTTCCACCACCGGCTTCTCTTCGCCACGCATACCACCAACATCAACCAGAGCTTCCTCATTGGGAACGACTTTTTCACCCGTTGCAGACCTTTTGACACCACCATCACCTTGGTCGCCCACATTGGAGCTTGATGATGCCACCCCAGTCCGTAACCAGTTGGTCGCCATGGCTTCAAGCTTCCACCCTAAAGCCGAAACACAAACCGCAGGGAACCTAACTTGGGCTCATAACCTACGGGGGGGAACCGAAGGGGGACGAGAAACCGAAAAGTCAACCCCAACAGAAACCCTTGATTTCCCTGGATCAACCACACAACAAACCCAAACCACAGGGCACTCACCTTGTACTACCAGGCACATGGCCCAGTCTTGAGCCATAAAAATGATTTTCGGGTTTATTAACCCTTTCAACTTCCAACACTAACTCTTTTTACAATACCAGTTGCAGCTCCGCACCCTAAACCCTAAACCCTAAACCCTAAACCCTAAACCCTAAACCCTAAACCCTAAACCCTAAACCCTAAACCCTAAACCCTATGAAACCCCGAAGCCTGAAGCCTAAACCCTAAACCCGAAAATTGCTGCCGCCGCCGCTCACAAGTCCTGCCCGCAACCAGCGCAGCCCTGACCTCCTCTCGGGAACACCCGCGCGTGAGGCAGGGCGTACCAAAGTTTAGGTTTTTTAGGGTTTAGGGTTTAGGGTTTAGGGTTTAGGGTTTAGGGTTTAGGGTTTAGGGTTTAGGGTTTAGGGTTTAGGGTTAGGGTTTGGGGCCTTGGGTCTTTGGCTTTTTCAGGGCCTAAACCCCCTAAGCCCCAAACCTCCGTAAACCCTACACCCTATAGTTTAAGGATCAGGGTTCAGGGTTTAGGGTTCAGGGTTTCGGGTATTGGGGGTGTAGCGTTCTGGCTTTTTGGGCTTTAGCCTTGTTCGGTGGCAAGAGGCCAGATGTTGGGGAGTTCAGAGTGGACTTCGAGAAGGCGTGCGGAGTATATATATATATATATATGTATGTGCGAGTGTGTGTGTGTGTGTGTTATGCAGAAATTAGCAAAGATATTATATATATATATGTATATATACAACACATCGCACAGACCTTCTCAGCAACCGAAAAAGGCTGGCATGCTTCGCAAGTTAGGGATTTAAGAGCACGACTGCAGGAAAGTGTCTCAGGGTAGTTATATGGGCAACGTTTAGGGTTTCGGGTTTGGGGTGTAGGGTTTAGGGTTTAGGGGTTTAGGGTTTAGGGTTTTTTGGTCTTTAGTGTGTAGGTTTAGGGTTAAATGCCCTTAATGGGGTCTTACCTCTACGTAGAGGGTTCTGATGTATAGGGCATATATAAGGGGGTGTATGACAAGGGGTCCCCTTGTTTAGGGCCCATACTAAGGGACCATGCAACTTCCCTTTGACCAAGCCTCAATCCTACGCCCTAAACCCCAAAACCTAAACCTCAAGTCCCACCCACCCCCCCCCCCCGCCCCCCCCCCCCCCCCCCGCCCCCCCCCGCCCCCCCCCTCCCGCCCCCCCCCCCCCCCCGCCCCCCCGGGCGCGGCGCGGGGGTGCCCGCCCCCCCCACCCCCCCGCCGCGCCCCCCCCGCCCCTTATCCCCTCCCCCCCCCCTTTCCGCCCCCCCCCGCCCTCAAGAGGCCCCCTCTATCTGCTTGAGCTAGCAGTGAGAGGTGGCCCCTTGTACAAAGAACTGGACGTCGATGGCGTCGCCACCAGTGAGGCTGAAACGCGACTTAGGGTTTAGGGGTTAGGGTTGAGGGTTTAGGGTTAGGGTTTAGGGTTCAGGGTTTAGGGTTTAGGGTAGAACGATTAGGGTTTAGGGGCTAGGGGTTTCGGGTTTGCGGTGTTTGGGTTTGGGTTGTTTATGGGTCTCAGCACCCTAAACCCTCAACCCTACAGCCTACTTTCATTCCACCTCCCAGTCGTGTTTTTGTGTTTGCTTCCCGGTTAGCGGGGTTAAGGACGCAGAACGAACCGTGAGGACTCTGCTGTGACCTCGAGTCAGCCGGCCAGCTTGTGGACCAGCAGAAGAAGAACAGCACGAGCCACCGCCTTCTGCAAACAGGCGGCAGACAGAAAGTTGTTTCCGGTTTCTCTGAGCTCGAACTTCCTGCGGAACAAGAATGACCTCTTCAACCAGTGGATGGACTGTGGAAAGGATTGGACGAAGCTCGAGTTGGTGGTGACACGAAAGGCCGAGCAGCTCAACAACAGCAAGCGGCAGCTTCGTGCCGTGCAGGGCCGCGAGCAGAAGGCCAAGAAGCTCGTGGAGACGAGAAAGGCGGCCGGCCTTTTTCTACCTGGATTGATGACTTTCCTGAGGACGACATGGAAACGTGGCTTTATATGGCCGATGGCCACAAGCACTTTTCGGAGCACCGCACAGGTGACAGGATATGTTTTTTGGGGTTGAGGATTGAGGGTTTAGGGTTTACAGGGCATAGGGTCTATAGGGCTTTCTCCTACCCTCCTAACCCGAAACCCTGTATAAACGCTGGACCCTATGTAAAAGCTAGGGCTTCGGAGAAGTCAGGATCTTTGAGGCATGAATGGTAGGGGTCAGAAAGCTTTCCAGCCATTCTCTACGATTTGCTCCAGAACCCCCCCCCCCCCCCCAACAAAAAAAACAAACAAAAAAAAAAAGAGACAGCAACAAGAAATATTCTTCCTTACAAGGGGCAATCATCTCTCAGACCCTTAAACCCTTAGACCCTGAAACCTGAAACCCCTACACCCTTAGACCCTTAAACCCCTAAACCCTTAAACCCCTAAACCCGTAACCCCTTAAACCCCCTAAACCCTGACACCCTAAACCCTTAGACCCTTAAATCCCTAAACCCCTACACCCTTAGACCCTTCAACCCCTAAACCCCTACAACCCTAAACCCTAAAACCCCAAAACCGCTAAACCCCTAAACCCTCAAACCCCTAAACCCCTAAACCTACATAAACACTTCACCCCTTCAACCCTTAAACCTCCAAACACTGAAGCCCTTAAACCCTTAAAAGCCTGAAACCCCTAAGCCCCTAAACCCTGCAACCCTCCAACCCCTAAACCCTTCAAGCCTTAAACCCTAAACCCGAAACCTAATCCCTTGTAAACCCTGAAAGCCTTATACCCCTAACCCGAAACCCTAAACCCTAAACCCTTAACCCTTAACCCTTAACCCTTATACCCCTAACCCGAAACCTCTGTTGCGACTTCTGACAGGCAAGTGCAGGGAGACGCGGCCTCAGCCCACGGAAGGTTTTGTGTAATGCGACTGATAGGTCTGATAGTTCAGGGTTAGGGTATATAGGGTTTAGGTTTAAGGTTTAGGGTTTAGGGTTTAGGGTTTAGGGTTTAGGGTTTAGGGTTTAGGGTTGGGGTACGAATGATGGGTTTCCACTGAGCTGTCGGAGTCTCATCCAAAAGGATCGGTCAAGCCCTCAAGACCAAACCATATAAACGTTAGCATTAGGGGGTTTAGGGTTTGGGGTTGAGGGATGAGGCTTGAGGGTTGAGGGTTTAGGGTTGCTCTCTCTTGTGCGAGCAGTGGAAGAGGCGTAGCATCAATCCTTCAGCTGTTGAGAACCAGCAGGCACCCACCTACAGCGGTCCTTTTAAGTTTGGCTATTCCCCGTTTGCAAAGGGCCCCAACCCAAAACCTCAAACCCGAAGCCCCAAACCCTAAACCCCAAACCCGAAACCCCAAACCCGAAGCCCCAAGCCCTAAACCCCAAACCCCAAACCCTAAACCCCAAACCCGAAATCCCAAACCCTGAGCCCCAAACCCCACACCCCAAAACCCAAAAAGGCATCCGCAGTTGCCGGAAACCCCTATCTTCGAATTTCCCCAGAGCTGTAAGACCAGACCGTCCTAAACCCAACATCCTAAAACAGCCTAAGCCTCTAGCATGGGATACAAGGAAGGATCCCCTAGAAGGAACCCTTAATCGTATTCCCCGCTCTAAACCCAAATATGCCTTATGTAGTCCCTAGCAACCAAGCCCTAAGCCCTAAACCCCAAACCCCAAACCCTAGACCCTAAACCCTAAACCCTCCCTAAACCCGAAAGTCCCTTATCAGGGACCCCTCCTTTCGCCCCTTGACTAAAAACAAGTCGCGCGGCTCAGGGCTACGCCGCGCAGGTGCCTGGGACAGTCAGTTTAGGGTTTAGGGTTTAGGGTTTAGGGTTTAGGGTTCAGGGTTCAGGGTTTAGGGTTTATCAGGATTAGGTTGTCGGGTTGTGGATTTAGGGGGTGGAAATTTGATAATTAAGGTCTAGACCCTCCATTTCTGCGAAGAGTTGGCTCTCTACCGGGTTTAGGGTTTAGGGTTTAGGGTTCAGGGTTTAGGGTGCGTGAACGGCACGGCGCAGCTTTGAAGTATATACGCGAGAGACAGACAGACGAGTTCAGCTACCATAGCACGGGAAGCGCCTGCAAGAGGAAGACCAAGAGGAGAAGCATTTGAGCTACTTAGGTTTAGGGTTAAGGGTTTAGGGTATAGTGTTTCAGAGTTTTCGGCCCAGTTCATGCACTCTAAACCCAAAAGCCTCTTTTTCAGGACCCTGAGTGTGTACTAATGCTGCGTATGGGCTACGTACCGGACAAATTCGCTGCTGTGGAAGTGCTTCATCCGGCCAGAAGACCGTCATGTCCCGAAACAGAGCACAAGCGCCCTGTCCTAAATTCCAGAGCCCCAAAAAAGCCCCCCACACCCTAAGCCCTAAACCCCCAAGCCCTAAACTCCAAATTCCCTAAACCCGAACCCCTAAATTGTTGAAGCCGAGATCGCAGCAGGCTTCAGTAAATGCGTGACTGCTGTGATTCGCGACATGATACGCGAATCAGGAGACCGCGGCGCCTCGATCCTGAATTATCTCACCGATCTCTGCCTCTTCATGGCAGCAATGAGCATCATGCTCGAGGGTGAGAAGCTCTTTACCGCCGCCAGAACCAGCATCCTGAACAAGTGCCTCAGGAATGAGTACCTAGCAGAGTTGCTGGCGGAGATGATGGCGCTCAATTGTTCATGCCATCGTTCGTCGAGCGCTTCGGGACAATCGGCACGTTTGCAAGCAAATGGTGAGTTTAGGGTTTAGGGTTCAGGCTTTAAAGAGGCAATGGGGAGAATGTAACAGATCCCAAGGCCCTTAATTAAGTCCCAAAATCATAACGCTGCTCGATAACTAAAACAAAGAACGAATACTCGTTACACCCTAAACCCCTAAACGCCCGAAGCTGACGATGGCGTTAGATGCCTAGCCTTACTTCGGGTTTCAGGCAGTAGGGTTTAGGGTCTATATAGGGATTAGGGTTTAGGGTTTTGAGCAGTAGGGTTTAGGGTTGAGGGCTTAGGGTTTAGGAGTTCAAGTGTTCCTAGCTTCTCAGGGCTTCCAGGGATTAGGGTTCAGGGTGCGCAAGCTGGGCATGGCATGAAGCGTTGATGAGGCTCATCGGATTTGAGAATGGTCTTCATAGTTCACAGCGTGTTCATTTTTTTGCGGGTTTGGGAGGGCGGGTTTTGATCAGGTGGGTTACACTCATTGCGACCTTGTTGTCCAGAAAGCTCTAATTAAAGCCTAAAGCCTCAGCCCTAAACCCTAAGCTCAAATTAACTCCTAAACCCAAAACCTGTACGGGAGGGATGTAGGGTTTATGGGGCCTATAGGTTGGAGTGCAAGCCCTCAGCCCTCCACAAACCCTTCGACCCTGTAAACACACGTCTCCAGCCCTGTCAAGCTTTCAAGGGGTTTAGGGTTTAGGGTTTTTAGGGTTTAGGGTTTAGGGTTTAGGGTTTAGGGTTTAGGGTTTAGGGTTTAGGGTTTAGGGTGGTTTAGGGTTTTTAGGGTTTAGGGTTTAGGGTTTAGGGTACCCTGAAGCAGCAGCCGAAAGAGGCGCCCATCCCGCTTTCCTCCGGCCTGTCGACTGGTGCCGCGGCCTCAGCGGTTGTCCTAAACCCTAAACCCTAAACCCTAAACCCTAAACCCTAAACCCTAAACCCTAAACCCTAAACCCTAAACCCCCCCCCCCCCCCCCCCCCCCCCGGCCCCAAAAGAAAAAAGGAGGTGAACCAAAAATCGACAATGAAAAAGATGCCTATATGTATATGTATAATGTGTATATATATATATAATATGCATATACATACATTCATTACATATTCTTAAGGCTTAGTGTTTATGATTTAGGGTGACTGCCCGAAATCCCAATACAACCTTGAACCCTCAAGCCTTAAAGTATGCCAAGCCCTTAATAAGCTCTAAGCCTAGGTGGAAAGCCATAAGCTACCCCGAACCCTAAACCCAAAACCCCCAGGCCCCAACCCCAGAATTTCCGACCTCCTACCCTCCTACCCTAAACCACCCCTTAACCCTAAACCCCAAACCCCAAACCCCAAACCCCAAACCCCAAGCCCCAACCCTAGGATTTCCTACCTCCTACCCTCCTATGTCAGGATCTCCCCACATGGTGTCCCATCCAAGGCTCCTCGCAACCGATTGAAGGTCCTCAAGTCTAAGGGTTTAGGGTTTAGGGTTTAGGGTTTAGGGTTTAGGGTTTAGGGTTTAGGGTTTAGGGTTTAGGGTTTAGGGTATTTGGGGTATTTAGGGTATTTAGGGTTTTTGGGGTTTGGGGTTTGGGGTTTGGGTTTTGTTCTTCTGATGCTCAGGCCTTCCCCACGGCCACATTCTCCCAGAACTTCTTGGCCACACCACACCCAGGCCATTTGCTCGGCTGCTTTTTAGTCGGGAATGAGGGGATGGGGTACCCTACGCCCTAAACCCTAAACCCTAACCCCTTGAAGGGTATATAAACGCGCCCTGATTTCCCTCCTTCCCTACTCAGAACCAGGGGTTAGGGTTTAGGGTTTGGGGTTTAGGGTTTGGGGTTTAGGGTTTAGGGTTTGGGGTTTGGGGTTTAGGGTTTGGGGTTGGGTTTGGGGTTTAGGGTTTGGGGTTTAGGGTTTGGGGTTTGGAGTTTAGGGTTTGGGGTTTGGGGTTTAGGGTTTAGGGGTTTGGGCTTGGGGTTTTTGCCTTGGGGGTTCGGGAGTTTGGGGGTTTGGAGGTTTGGGGGTTACGGTGTTGGGGTTGAGGCTTCCTGGCCATTGGATGCCCAGTACACACCCCAACCAACGAAACAAAGCCCTGAGGCCCCTCAAGCCTCCCCCTAGCCCCCAAATAAGCCCCCGACCCTCACAGAAGCCACGACGGTAGAAGCATATAGAGGTTTAAAGTAGGGGTTTAAGGGTATTTGTGACGGGGGTCATTACGGTTGTTACGATGGGTGTTTTGAGGGCTTCGGCAGTGTGTGAAAACGCTAAGGCGATGTAGGCACAAAGGCAACAGCACACTAAGGCACCAACAAACGAAACCACCAACGGTTCCTTTAAAGTTATGTACGTCCGCAAACCCTACAACGCTATTGAATCCCAGAATGCTGGAGATGAAAACTGCCCAAAAACCCTAAAACACGAACGAAGCACATGAGCTGTAGATAGTAAGCCAAACCCTAAACCCTAAACCCTTAAAAGCCTAAACCCTAAACCCTAAGCCCTAAAAACCCTAAAGCCTGAATTAAGCACTGCGGGCAGGCGTCCGCACGACGCAAAAGGGAATCCCGGCTACACCATCCTGGTCGACCCAGCCTGGGGGTTAAGGGTTTAGGGTTCAGGGTTTAGGGTTTAGGGTTTAGGGTTTTAGGGTTTTAGGTTATAAGTTTTAGGGTTTTAGGGTTTTAGGGTTTGAGGGTTTGAGGGTTTGAGGGTTTTAGTGTTTTAGGGTTTTAGGGTTTACGGTTTATAGGGTTGAGGGTTTTGGGGTTTGGGGTTCAGGGTTTGGGGTTTGGCTGAGGGTTTTTAAGGTTTGGGATGTCCTTCTTGGGTGCTTTTAAGCCTTGCGACAGAGCAATCCGTGATTCCGTTGAGGATTCGTTCAGGGTTTAGGGTTGAGGGCTTTTCTTTGAGAGAACGCCCTCTTGACTTATTGCGTCGAGCTGATGAACGCTGGGATGGGGCAGGGCGGCCGAGATTCAGCAGTCAGACTTCCGAGCTATAAGCAGATTGCTCATCAGCCTCTTTGGGTCCGAAGACTTCGAAAAATAGCGGCACCTTATTGGGGCCCTTCTTGAGGGAATCCTACTATTTGGGGGGGTCTATGCTTTACTAAGGGGCCCCGTCATTTCGTGAGACCCCAGCTACGGTGCAGTGAGGGATGCGGTCCCCTCGACCGCTACGACGCTCTAGATCAAAGGGGCTAGTGGATTTCAAAACGAGCTACCGCGCTGTTCGCGCAAGGCTACAAACTTTGTAGTACAAAGCATCAGAGCTGCGAAACTAGGGCTTCATCTTTGGATTGTGTGAATTCTAGGGTGAAAAGGAACGTCCCCACCTTAACCACCCGGACCGTAGGGTTTAGGGTTTAACGTATTAGGGCTTAGGCATAAACAACTCCGTTCATTAAGAAGTCTATTCTCTTAACAATCCTTGTGATTTGCGTGGGGATTTGTCCTTAAACAAGGGACATTGGAAGATCGGGGCCTGCCCCCCAAAAGAAAGAAGCCCCAAAATAGGGCCTGTTTTCAGGGGTTGCTTCGGCCTTGCTTTCATGGGTGGAGGTGGTTAAGATTGGGGCATAGGCCCTTTCCCCTAATCCCTAAACCCCTATTTTTTTGTAGCGTACGTCAGACAAAAGCGGGTCATCAGCACCATTTCAGGATTTAGGGTACAGTGTCCAGGGGTTCCGTTGAGAAACCTCAGCCCTAAACCGAACAGGATCCTAATGGGACCCCTAAACAAGCAACCCCAAGAATATAGTAGGAGTATCAAGGGCGTAGAAGAACCCTGGTAGGTACATTCTTACTCTTTTCCTACTAGATTTTTGGGGTTGCCTGTTTGAGGTTTCCATTAAAGTCCCTTTAAATCCTCAAACCCTCCCTTAAACACTGAGCCCAATAGGCCCTAAACCCTAAACCCTGAGCCCTTGTGCCAGGTCACCTCCTCAAGCGCCCCCCAGCGACATTGTGGGGGAGATGCGTGAGGTGGGATGTTGGGTTGCAGGTTTGAGGTTCGGGTTTAGGGTTTAGGGCCACTAAACCCCAAACGCTGTACCCCTAAACCCTGATTGATCCGTCGACCTTCAACCCTCAACCCCTAAATCCTCAGCTCTCAACCTAAACCCTAAATCCTAAACCCTAAACCCTAAACCCTAAACCCTAAACCCTAAACCCTAAACCCTAAACCCTCAGCCAAGTAGGTTTTGGGGTTCTTCAGGTAAACCCGAAGCCCTGAGTCCCAGAGCCGATTGTTTGTTTTTTGATTCAGTCCGGAGCATCCTTGAGTTTGAGGGTTTAGGGTTTAGGGTTCAGGGGTTTAGGGGTTAGGGTTTAGGGTTTAGGATTTAGGGTTTAGGGTTTAGGGTTTAGGGTTCTCCAAATGATATATTTATATAAGTATATATTTATATAGCTCAGGGTTTAGGGTGTAGGGTTCAGCATGTCACGTACTGGCTTTCACAAGTCAACCAATGTCACGTGGTTGTGAAGCGGGAGAATACCCACCCACCCAAAGAATGCCATAACATTAAGAGAATCAAGGGTCTTCACCCGAAGCCCTAAACCCTAAACCCTAAACCCTAAACCCTAAACCCTAAACCCTAAACCCTAAACCCTATAAACCAAAAGTCCATAGACCGAAGTTCGAAGGCGGTGCAAACCACAGACTGGCAGAGCCCTCAGCGTGGACTTTAGGGCTTCCCCCTGGTTCCTAGTAGGGAATGAGGGCCCTACATACAGCCTTTTGAGGTATTACAGAGGGCCCTCGTTCCCTCAAATCCCTACTCAGAACCAGCCTGTTCAGGGCTCACGTGCGTTTCGGGTTTCGGGATCTAGGGTTTAGGCATCTAGGGTTTAGGGATTTGGGATTTAGGGTTTGGGTTTTCGGGTTCAGGGGTTGGGTTTGGGGTTTTGGGGTTTTGGGGTTCAGGGTTTGGGGCTTGGGGTTGAGGGCTTAGGGTCCGGGTCTTGGGGGTAGGGTTTGGGGTTTGGTGTTTTGGGAAAAGGGGTTTGGGGCTTGGGAAATAGGGTGCTGCGTCTAAACGTGGGGGAAATAAACGTGTTTGGGGTATGAATGTTGGGAAGAACTAAAAATTGGGAATTAGAGTTTGGGGCTTGAGTTTTCGGGAATTGGCGTTAGGGTTTGAATTTCGGGCGTCAAGGTCTGGGGCTTGAATTTTGGGGTTTAGGGCGCGGGGTCTAGGGTTTGGGGTTCAGGTTCTGGGGTTTGAGGCGTGGGTTTTGGGTTTTGGTGTTTGGGGGCTGAGGGTTTGGGATCGTTTTGTTTCAGGTGTTTATGGGACCATGCGTCTGAGGGTTTCATTTTTTTTCTTTGGGAAGGCCGGGCGGGAGCTTGCTGAGGGTGGGGCTTGATCATCATCATGATTGCTGTTCCTTCAAAGTTCCTTTTGGATGGTTGTGGGTTTTTGGGGGCCTTACCCTAAACCCTAAAACCTAAACCCTAAAACCTAAACCCTAAACCCGAAACCCTATAGGCCGTACACCCTTGTAGGGAGATTGGGTTTGGTGCTCAGGAGTTTAAGGTTTTGAGATATATACTCGTTGCATCCGAATTAACCCCCAAACCCTAAACCCTTAGCCCCAGACCCCAAAGGGTCCTAAGTACCTACATAGTAGAAAGTAGGATTTCCATAATAGGAATTACTATTATGGTTTGGACAAGTGTCCCCCATACAGGTACTTAGGACCCTTTGGGAACCCTAAACCCTAAAACCCCCTGCGCCGAACCCGAGAGTCGCCAGCCATTTCCGCGCATGTGAGGTAAGCCCTCGTCCTTAAAAGCCCGAAGGCCTAAACCCTAAACCCTAACCTCAGCTTCTAAGCCCTAAACCCTGAACCCTAAACCCTAAACCCTAAACCCCAAGATCTGGTTTGGTGCCGCACCCCTGGTTTGTTCCTTGCCGAGGTATCAGCTCTACAAAGAGGGCAAGACCAAGTCGTGGACTCGGGGCCCTAAACCCTAAACCCTAAACCCTAAACCCTAAACCCTAAACCCCTAAACCCTAAACCCCAAACCCTAAACCCTAAACCCTAAACCCTTAGACCGAAACCCTGAGGCTCTATCAAGACTCTCACTTACAGCGTGTTTGTTTTGCAGGATCCCTCACCCTAAACCCTAAACCTTCAACCCTAAATACTGAACCCTAAACCCCTATCCGGGCCATTTTTGAACCTGAGGGTGCCAAGCCCACAAGACCGCAAAGTCAGTGGCCTGAGTGGTGGTGTAGGGCTTAAGATTGAGGGTTCTGGGCTTCAAACTTTCTGAATCAGGGTGGAGTTTTCCCGTTTAAGCTAAAACCCTGAACACTGTTTAGGGTTATAATCAACCCACAAGTTTGCAGATCCTAAACCCTAAACCCTAAACCCTAAACCCGAATCCCTAAATCTTCAGTCATCCGTCAGAGGGCTTGCGGATCAAGTGATGACGGATTGGAATGTTACGGGTTGAAGCAACGCGGAACCCTGAACCCGACTTGGACTGCAGAAGCTTACTGACATCTGTCAGTCGGATCTGGAGGGCCAAATATCTCTAAATTTGGGGGGAAAGGGATTAGGGCTTAGGGTTTAGGGGGTTTAGGGTCCAGTGTGTAGCCCAATGCCTCTTATTTGGGGGGGGCTGGGAGCTGCAGGGGTGCATTGCAAGTAGGCTTACAAACAGCATTAGTATTCCTAAACCCCAAACCCCAAACCCCAAACCCCAAACCCCAAAGCCTAAACCCTAAACCCTAAACCCTAAGCCCTAAACCCTATTCGAATTCTTAAGCGCCCCAACATGTGGGTCCCGACCCAGGTTTTGGATGGGGGGCGGCTGGTCGGCCGGACCCGAGCGCTGCGGTCGCCTGGCCTCAGTTGGGGAAGGGAGGGCCTTCAGGGGGTTTAGGGTTTAGGGTTTAGGGTTTAGGGCTTGGGGTTTCGGGTTTAGGGTTTAGTGCTTAGGGTTTGGGGTTTAGGGTTTAGCTCAGCGCTGAAGGCACGCACTACCAGCATTGGGCTACAGCGACGTTTTGGCGGCGTGGCTGATCCTGGTCTTAGCAGAACCAGACAAGATCATTGAATGCTTCCTGCGACTACCAGATCCGGAAAAACGATTTCCGATGCCGCGCTCCAACGACATGTTCAACGATGATAAGAAGGATCGGCAAAGGCTCTGACAAGCCTGAAAACCCTAAAGGCCCTCAAACCGAAACCCGAAGCCGCTAAACCCCAAAGGCCCAAAACCGGCCCAAAACCTGAAAACCCTAAACCCGGAAACCTTAACCCAAAAAACCCTAAACAGGCCCTAAGCCCTGAAAACCCTTCACCCTAGAAATCCTAAAGACACTATAGCCTGAAAAGCTCTAAACTCTAAAAGCCCTGAAGGCCCTCAACCCTAAACATCCTGCAGTTCAATCCTGACAACTTCCAATCCCTGCAACACCGGCAGGCCTTATGCTCAGAAAACCCTAAACCCTGAAAACCCTAGAGGCCCTAGAGGTCCTTAAGGTCCTAACCCCCCCCCCAAAAAAAAAAGAAGAACCTGCAAACCCCCTAAAGACTGCCAAAGCCTTAAAAGGTCTCAAAGGCTCAAAAAACCCTAAGCCCTGAAGGCCCTAAACCCAAACCCAAACCCAAACAACCATAAACCCCCTGAAGGCGCCAAAACCCTACACCCCAAACCCAAAAAGCCCTAAATACACCAACCTTGCTTCTCACATTGCAGTAAGAGCTGTCACCGCAGTTCCTTAACCTGCAACCCCAGTTAAGTACATGAAGTGCACGGCTTCGGGTATTGCTAAAGAGTACACAAATATGCGAAATATAGATAAACACATATGTATAGATAGATAGATAGATAGAGAGAGAGATGTATATATATATATATATAGTCATGCACTGACGTAAAGGGGCCTTGTTAGCAAGTAACAGGGAGGCTGACATGGACCGCGATTTAGCACCATTGGAGGCTTTTTTTCTCTGCCCATTTCCGGTGGCAGCTTTCCCCAATGATGGTAACCCCTAAACCCTAAACACTAAACCCTAAACCCTAACCCTTATGTAACCCTTATTGCTGCCCTTCCATACCCCGTAGTAGAAGCCATAGGCACCCCACCCGGGAACTCCCTCAAGTCTTCCTTTATGTGGGGTATAGGGTTTAGGGTTTAGGGTTTACGGTTTAGGGTTTAGGGTGTTCTTGAGTGGGCGGGGGTTGGCCTCGGTGTCAATCTGTCGGAGCTGTCAGAGTTTAGGGGTCCTTTTCTTCAACCTTCCAGAAACTAAACTGTTTTGCCGAGTCCTTTTTTTGGTGGCGCTCGAAAGGATGGTTTGGAATGATAAGGCGCGGCCAGGTTGCAACCCTAGCCCTAAACCCTAAACCCTAAGCCCTAAGCCCTAAGCCCTAAACCCTAAACCCTAAGCCCTAAGCCCTAAACCCTAAGCCCTAAGCCCTAAACCCTAAGCCCTAAGCCCTAAGCCCTAAACCCTAAGCCCTAAGCACTAAACCCTAAGCCCTAAGCCCTAAGCCCTAAACCCTAAACCCTAAACCCTAAGCCCTAAGCCCTACCCTAAACCCTAAGCCCTAAACCCTAATGCCAACCTGGGCGCAGAGGACTGCTGCAAACTCTTTGCGCCCTCTCCGGCGCTAGGCCCGCGGTGACTCGAGGGTTTTAGGGTTTGAGGGTTCCGGGTTTATGGTTTTAGTGTTGTAGGGGTTTAGGGTTTAGGGCTAGGGTTTAGGGCTAGGGTTTTAGGGTTTTTAGGGTTTCAGGGTTTCAGGGTTTTAGGGTTTTAGGGTTCCCCTTTGAGAGCACTTTGCAAAGGGGTACGTCTGCAAGGCTTTAGGCTGATGGAATCTCCCATGGGAAGGCACCCTGAATTCAGGGGCAGAAGGAGGGACCCCTAGAAGGGACGCTTCATCTTATTTCCTTATATATATGCCCTATATGTACCTTATGTAGTCCCTATATACCTAAGTTGCCCCACAGTAGCCCTTCAAGAGCCCCAGAAGTCCTTTAGCCCCTTGACTGAAGCCTCCAACACTCCTTGCTGGGAAGTCTCGAATCGGACCCCGAACCTCAAACCCTCGAACCCTAAACCCTAAACCCTAAATCCGCCCTAAACCCTAAACCCTAGCCCTAAACCCTAAACCCTGATACGCCCCAAAGCCCAAACCCTAAAACGCCAGATGCGACTGTGGCATCGCGGTCTACTCTACGGAGCTTGCTAAATTTAGGGCTTCGAAGAGCGCTGCAAACGTACGAAACGGGTTCAGGGTTTAAGGTTTGTTCTTGAGAACCCAACAATAGGGCCCGCATCCCATGGCACACCCACGCTTGCAACACTTGAGGTTTAGGGTTTAGAGCGCCCAACAAATTAAAAACCATAGCCCGAGACCTACATCTTTAGATGACACCCTCGAAGCTTTTTGGTTCAGGGTTTAGGCAAACTGCTCATGGTTGGTCATGTGCTCATCTTCCCTTCTGGCATGTCCTAGGATCCGGCCTAGGATGTTTGAGTTCTAGCGATGCCCTCGACCCTCCTGGAGCGTCGACCACATCTCTTGCGGTACATTCCCGTAGTTCTTACCAAGGATCCTACTGTGCGGGTAGGATGGAGGGTTCATTATCCTTTGTGGCACCTACCATAGGGAATTCTTTTCTTATGGGGTAGTTACGTGGGTCCTTCATATGGTCTCTTACCTCGCTTAAAGGCCTCTGATGAATGCGCCCGTATACTTTGTATAGGGTATATAAGGGGTACCCTTTTTTAAGGGCCCATACTATGGGACCATGTAACTACCCTTAGGTCCTTGCACTGCCGGACAGGCGAGTCCTAGAAATTGGACAGTGCTGCCGCTGCCTCGGAACATCTTGCTCGGAGACAGCTGCCTATTCCTCCGCGGAAACAGGCAAAAAACATGGGACAGCCGGTTGAGTGTCCATGGATGGAGGTTTAAGATGACCCCTCCCCTGAACCCTAAGCCCTGAACCCTAAACCCTAAACCCTAAAAAACCCTAAACCCACCAATCCATCCCACACCCCACGCTTACCCTCCCCTAAAACAGGATCTCCCCACCCCCCACTCCGGCGCGGCTGAGTTCGGTTTTCTTTCACCGTCAAGGGTAACCGGCCCGACTCACGAAGCCGCCCGACTCACGAAGCCCGAAATCCCCCCAGCACAGGTAACCCTAAACCCTAAACCTAAACCCTGGACCCCATCCAGGGGGACAACGGTCGCCGAACAGAGCAGGACCTAAACCTTACACCCTAAACCCTAAACCTTAAACCCTCCAGCTACCATGGCCATGGCCTCTGCAGACAGTTCCCTGTGAAGATGTAGACGAGTCTCCTGGGTACGACCTTCGAGGGTCCATAGGTCCATAGAGGGGTTATTCCCAGATCCTCCTAGACTTTTTTTGGGGGGGGCCATTCCCTCATTTCTTTGTTCTAAAGGACTATTCCCTCATTTCTTAGTTCTAATGGATCCTGCACCAATTCAGGGAATATTGCCTTAAACCCCTAAACCTTAAAGCCCTGGATCCTAAACCCTAAACCCAAACCCTAAGCCCTAAACCCTAAACCTTAAACCCTGAGCCCTGAACCCTGAACCCACAGACCTACACGGAAGGTAACCAGATTGGAGTTTCAGATGCAAGCGCTTAGCGCTTCAAAGCAAACCTTTGAATCTTCACAGTGGAATGCAAACCCTGAACCCTGAACCCCAAACCCTAAGCCCTAAACCCTAAACCTTAAACCCTGAACCCTGAACCCTGAACCCTGAACCCTGAACCCTGAACCCTGAACCCTGAACCCTGAACCCTGAACCCTGAACCCTAAACCCTAAACCCAAACCTTGCACCCCAATGTGATATGGGAAGATCTGGGTGCGGAGCGGCGGAGCGGCCGAGTCAAGGGACCGAAGGAGGGACCCTTCTTAGGGACATGAGGGGTTCTTTGGGGGTTCCTTAGGGGCCACTTTGGCATGTAGGGACTATCCCGAAACCCTAAACCCTAAACCCTAAACCCTAAACCCTAAACCCTATATGAGGGTTATTAAAGGGGTGATATAGGGGAATAAGCTTGAGGTTCCCTTTCTAGGGCTGGTGCCCCTTATACACCCCCTTACGTGCCCTATGCAAATTAAGGGCCCATACATCAGAACCCTTTCAAGGAGGTAAGGGTTTAGGGTTTAGGGTTTAGGGTTTAGGGTTTAGGGTTTAGGGTTTAGGGTTTGGGTTTCGGTGTTAAGGGCCCCTCTATAGGGAGCTGTCGCAGTTCCATCGCTGTCAGGACTTTTTGGGCACTGAACATGAAGAAACCATTCATTCCAGGACATTCCACCTCAGCCTCGGCACCAGTCCGATATGTGTGCCACACGGTACGCCTGGTGGGACCGCTCCGGGGCCAGGCCAGGACGGCCGGAGGGCCAAGGGGGAGGGGACGCCAGGGGCAGGGGGAAATGGATCTCCCAGACCCAGAGCAATGCGGCAGCCCGAGGCACAGTTGACGTGAGCGGCGCACTTTCCCTCCCCGTTCATAGAGCTTCTTGTGGAGGTCGGTTTGTTGTTGCCTCTCCATTCAGGGTCCTGGGTCAGATATTGATCGAAGATCGCGGTGTCTTCGGCCCAGTAGATCCCCTTGCCGAATATGTCTGGGCTGTCCCTTCAAACCCTTTGTCAAGTCTATTGTTCCATCCAGGGTCCTGGGTCAGATATTGATCGATCTTTGTGGCTTCTTCGGCCAAGTAGATCCCCTTGATACTCCGAAACCCGGCACCTGCTTCGTGCTTTGCTGGTTTTGCCACCTGGTTCTTAGTAATGGCCCTATATAAACCCTTTAAGGGATTATATAGAGTACCTCCTTACCAGCCAGTTTGGTGGGGGTTCTTGTGCACTGCACAGACTTCTGGGCGGCCTGGCGTCCTCTTCTTCTGCGGCCCATGAGGCTACGAGGAACCGACAGGCTTGCGCCCTAAGCTCTAAGTCCTAAACCCTGGCCCTACACCGTAAGCCCTGCACCCTGAATCCTAGACCCTAAACCCTAAACCCTAAACCGACTCCTATCCCCCAGACTACATCTTCAATCCATTTCCTTAAGCTCCGCGCCTGAAATTTGGCAGTTTCCACTGCAGCATGGCGCTCTCTGCCGATACACCTAAACCCTAAACCCTAAGCACTAAGCACTAAGCACTAAACCCTAAACCCTAAACCCTAAACCCTAAACCCTAAACCCTAAACCCTAAACCCTAAACCCTAAACCCTAAACCCTAAACCCTAAACCCTAAACCCTAAACCCTAAACCCTAAACCCTAAACCCTTCCTTCGGTCCCTCCTTGTAACCCCTTTGAGCTGAGGCGGCGTTGCCACGCTCGCCATGGCCGAGGCCTCTTGCGGGCTTTGGGGGTTTTGGGGGTTTTAGGGGTTTTGGAGGTTTTAAAGGGTTTTTAAGGGTGTCTTAGGGTGTTTTAGGGTTTTAAAGGGTTTTTTTTAGGGTGTTTTAGGGTTTTAAAGGGTTTTTTAAGGGTGTGTTGAGTATTAAGGGTGTTGTAGGGGTTTTTAGGGGTTTTAGGGTGTTTTAGGTTGTTTTAGGGCTTTTAGGGTTTTTGAGGGTTTTTAGGGGTTTTTGCTATAGGCTTCAGAGTTTAAGCCTAAACCCCGTCCCTTCAGGAGCCCACACACACAACCCTATGCCCGAAATCCTAAACCCTAAACCCTAAACCCTAAACCCTAAACCCATATTTAGAATCCATGGCAAGATGTGTTGCTGGCAGCTTTGTTCGGCAGCGCCCTCGACCCTTAACCCTAAACCATGGGATGTTCCACCTCATACTAGCAGTCCTTAGTTGGGATTCATAATGGGGGTTACTATAATCCCTATTCAGGACTGTTAGTATAAGGGGGAACATCCCAACCTAAACCCCCTTTATCTATCTCTCTTTCTTTCTCTCTCTTTCTTTCTCTCTCTCTCTCTCTCTCTGTCGCTTTCTTTTCGTGTTTCTCTATCTCTCTTTCTTTCTCTCTCTCTCTCTCTCTCTCTTTCTCTCTTGCCCTCAAATCTCTCTCGTTGCCAGGCCATGCCCCAAGACGCCAAGGCCTGGCCAAGGGCATCGGTAGGACTTAGCACTTTTTTGAACTCCTGCACCCTAAAACCATCCGAATCCCTTCGCTAGGGCTCTGAATTCTCAATCACAAATCAGTGAAGATTCCCTTGAGGGTGATCGTAAGAATGACAGAAATCGGAGTATGAACCAGAATAAGCACAAAAAACATGATAGCCCATAGCCCCTCAATATAAAGGATAGGCGAAGGCAACGTGCCCAGCTCTTCCGACACCTCCTAATTCAGGAGTATGCCCTGAATCATAGTAATAAGATATTCGCCCTAAGCACCAAACCCTAAACCCCAACCCCAAAGCCTTACCCCAAACCCCATATAAACCCCAAACTCTAAACCACAAAGCCCAAACCCTAAGCCCCAAACCCCAAGCCCGAAACCCCAAACCCAAACCCTGAACTTTCCCTTGGATGATCTGGCGGAGGTCTCGGGGCAGAGGAGTTGAGGATCTCAGGGCATGCCATCAGTGTGTTGGTGTTTTCCTGCAAGGGTTTAGGGCTATAGGGTTTAGGGTTTAGGGTAAGCCCGAAACTCTGCACCTGCAAAGTCCTGAACCCTACAGCCCTTAGCCGGACGCCCTAAAGCCTTTACCCAACCTATAAAGTCCTGAAGCCCTTAAGCCCTAAGCTTTGGGGGCTTGCGGAAGTGTAGGCATAATACCCCAGGTGTATAGGGTTTCGGGTTTGGAGACCCGGGGATTTTAGAGCTGACCTCGCAGGATCTTAGGGTTTAGGGTTCAGGGTTTAGGGTTTATGGTTTAGGCTTTCCTCAGCCCGGCAAGCACCAGGTAGTCACTCTCGAGATTGACTCCTACTTGGCGGACTTCGGGAAACAGCGCGGATCTCGGAGGAAGCTGTGTCTAGGACCGGGAGTAGGCCCTTTTTTCTTTTTGTTTAGGGTTGGGGTTCCCTTAGAATCCCCTTAAAAACAAAAAGGGTACCCTTTTTTTCTAGGTTGCTGCCGGGTCCAGTAGCCCTGAACCCTAAACCCCCTTGGGATTGAGTTTTGTTTTGTTCATACAAAACACGAGAGGATACGAAGAACACTATGTTTCTTAAGGTTCTAATGGGAGTATAGATAGGGGGCACCAACCCTAAACCCTAAACCCTAAACCCTAAATATGAAGTATTGCTAGCATAAGGGGGGGAACATCCCAAACCGAAACCCTAGCCTTGGAGAGCCGTCCAACAGGGTTCAGGGTTTTGTTTTTCAGGGTGTAGGGTTTCGGGTTTAGGGTTTGGGGTTTGGGGTTTAGGGTTTAGGGAGTAGGGTTTAGGGTTTATCGTTTAGGGGTTTAGGGTTTAGGGTTTACTGCCTGTGCAAGTCCAAGCCGCAGCCCCCCTAGCTGCTGCGAAATTCCAGGCCGGCAAGAAGAGAGGAAGTGGTGTATCAACTCGGCGGAGAAGCAGCCAGCCAGACTGAAGCAGGGGCTGATTCAGGAGCTTCTCTGGCAGTTCCGCCGCGGTTGCGAGCGCTGCAGGTGGCGTGCTGGCTGCTGCGACTCCTGCTGGCGGACGAGAGGCTACCAACGTGTGGGACTTGAACGCCAGTCTGCGCGTGGAATCTTCGGAGAAGATCCGACTCTGTATAGGAGTCGCGACGGGGCTTGGCATCTTACAGCCGGAGGGCTCTGAAGCAACAAAAAATGCAATTGCAGGCGTAAACCCCAAACCCTATATGAACCCTAAGCCCTAAGCCCTAAACCCTAAACCCTACATGTTGTCAGGTATTGTTGGCCTCTGGGACAGCACTCGACACTAGGTAGAGCAAGAGCCCCTGATCTGTTTCAACGTACTTAGCCAAGGAATATTCCCTCAGCCATAATGGTAGAGGTAGCTTTACTTCTGTTCTGTTCTGTCATTAACGAAGTCATCACAAGATCCTCAAGAATTTAAAGAATATACCCTGGCTGTTGGAAGATCTGGGTGCTCAACTATCGACTGGCTGGGGCCCGTCCCACAAGGTGTAGGGCTTAGGGTTCAAGGTTCAGGGTTTGGGGTTTCGGTTTTAGGTCTTAGGTTTTAGGGTTGAGCGGCAGAAAATGGCCGCCCCCCAACAAAACCATGGTCTTCAAAAACACGCCTCAAATAAGAGTCCTGAGAGTCTCAGGGTTAAGCGACGTTCAGTTCTTGCTCTTCTTTGGTTCTTGGGAATTAGAGCTGAGAGCCTTCGCCCAGGGTTTAGGGTTTAGGGTTTAGGGTTTGCCACCACCCTGATAAAGTCCTGGGAGTCCTAGACCATAAGGGGCTTCCTTCGTTTGAGCAATCGCCCTAAACTCTAAACCCTAAAACTTCAACCCCTTTGATACCCCTAAAGCTCTAAGACCCTAAGACTACCCTAAAGCCTAAACTCCTTAAACCCCCCAAAACCAAATCCCTAAACCCAAAGCTCCACAACCTTGAAGCCTTAAGACACTAAACACTGCCCGAAACCTAGAACCCTTAAACCCTAAATACCCTAAACCGTCAAACCCTAAACCCTAAAAACACTAAAAACCCTTAAAACCCTAAACACCCTAAACCCTAAACCCCCAAAGCCTAAACCCGAAACCCTTAAACACCCCCCCCCCCCCCCCATCCCACAACCCCTGACCCAAAGGGTCCTAAGAGCCTACATAGGACCCTTTGGGTGAGCTTGAGACCTGAAGGTACTGGGCGCGCAGCTCGCACGGGTAGGAGCCTCAGAGGCTTAGGGTTGAGGGTTTAAGTTTTAGGGTTGAGGGTTTAGGGTTTAGGATTTCGGGTTTAGGGTAGCTGATGAAGTGGGTTTAGGGTTTAGGGTTTAGGGTTTAGGGTGTAGGGTAACTGATGAAGTGGGTTTAGGGTTCAGGGTTGAGGGTGTAGGGTTTAGGGTTTAGGGTTCAGGGTTTAGGGTTTAGGGTTTGGCGGCCTGGGCTTGGGGAGCAGGCTGGCTTTACGGCTTAGGGAGCTTTCATTGCCGCAGCATCTCTGGCTCTCTATCTGGGTTTAGGGTTTAGGGTTTGGGGTTTAGGGTTTAGGGTTTAGGGTTTTGGGTTTTGGGTTTTGGGTTTTAGCTACTTTGAGGAGTTGGATTATCATGTGGGGGGGGGGGGGGGTGTCCGAAGATAGGGGGCACTCTTTTTGGTGGGGATTATAGTTAGTATTTTGGTGTATATGTAGGGCGATCCTAGTTTGGGAAATACCCATGCAAAATATGTTGCATCTGATGCAACCCTGAATCTTACCCACAAACCTTGAAGCTCTCATAAAACCCTGCAAGTTGAGGTTTCAGGCAACCCCTAAACCCTACGCCCTAAACCCTAAACCCTAAGCCCTAAAGCCCTAAACCCTAAACCCTAAACCCTGAACCCTAAACCCTAAACCCTAAGCCCTAAGCCCTTTTAAGCCCTAAACCCTAAACCCTAAGCCCTGTAACTGTAGGCCGTTGCGATGCCGAGGCAGAAGATTCGATCCGTAGTCGGCCCTGTCTGCGTCTGAGAGACACCTTGGGCCTCAAGAGGGTTACGGGGTTTTGGGTTTAGGGTTTAGGGTTTAGGGGCCTAGGGTTTAGTGTTTAGAGTTTAGGGTTTAGGGTCTCAACGGGGTTAGGATGTAGAGTTTAGGCTGCTCAGGCTAAATCGGTAGGATGTAGGGGCTATTATTTTGGTTGTGTGTATATGTGTGGTTGGTGGCTCCATGATGGGTGTAACGACTACGTGCGTTAAGAATTCTAGGCCCTAAGCCGTATTCCCTGGACCCTCACTAGAAGTTCGGGGTCAGTAGTGGCTTGGGTCCAGGGTCGTTATTTGCACAACGCCTTGAACCCCAAATGCCAATGACTGAGCTGTACAGCAAGTGCTTCAACCTCTTGGCCCTAAACCTTAAGCCCCCAAACCGTCAATCCTCTTTAACCCCATGCGTGACAGTGCGTCCCTCAATGATATCCATAGAGTTGTACCCTACTTAAGTGATTCCACCCACGAGGTTCACAGGATTAGGAGGATGTACATCCATAAAGACTTCAGTTCGCGTGTGTGTGAAACTCCTGTCAGTAATCACAAAGGCACAAGCTTCGAAGTACGCAATTGCCACCCCCCCCCCCCCCACCCCCCCCTACCCCTCCTCCCCACCCCCCCCCCCCCCCTCCACACCCCCCCCCCCCCCCCCCGACCCACCCCACTCCCCGGGCCTGAGAAGGCGGGTTCAAGCCCTTCTTTCGCTTTCACGCGTGGCCGAGGCCCTAGACTACCTGAAGTCCGGCAGTGCCAAGCAGGCGAGCCGGGATACGAGTTCCATTTCTTAGGGTTTACGGCCAGCTACTTACTTCGCCTTTAGTTGAACTTTAAACTTTTTTGGGTTTGCTTATATAGTAGGAATATTAAAGTTTAACCTTTTTTCCCCTTGGTCATTGGAGAAGTAAGGTTAGGGTATAAGGCTTCGGGAACTCTTTCTTCTGGTTCTTCTTTTGGGTACCCAAGGATGCCTCTTGCGAAAGCTTGGGCTGAGGAGCCTCCATGAGACTCCCACCACTCTCAGCGTGCACCCAGAAAACAGTTTAGGGTTTAGGGTTTAGGGTTTAGGGTTTAGGGTTTAGGGTTTAGGGTTTAGGGTTTAGGGTTTAGGGTTATAAGTCTACTTCTCACCTACTTAGGGGACTTGGGGGGCTGAAAAGTGCAGTTATGATTGGGGTTATAAGTACCTTGAACCTCCAAGTAATGCCCTAAAGCCTTCAGACTTGCAGCCCAAATGCACACCCTACAACCCTAAACCTTAAAACCCTAAACCCTAAACCCTAAAGCCTAAAGCCTAAAGCCTAAACCCTTAACCCTAGTCCCTCCCTTAACCCCTAAAGCCGTAAAATCCTGACCCCTGAAGCCCTAAAACCCTAAAACACAAACCCGCAAACCCGTAAACCCGATGCAAATGCCAAGGTGGGTTCAGGTTCAGGGTTTAGGGCTTCAGAACATCAGGGTTTCAGGGTCTCAGGATTAGGGTTCAGGGCTTAGGGTTTCGGGTTTAGGGTTTTAAGGTTCAGGGTTTAGGGCTTAGGGTTCAGGGTTTAGGGTTCCGGCACATTCTAAGGGGGTTCTTGAGTCGGGGGTGCTCTGGGAGGGGCCCTAAACCCTAAACCCTAAACCCTAAACCCTAAACCCTAAACCCTAAACCCTAAACCCTAAACCCTAAACCCTAAACCGGATTTCCCGTAATAGCCCCAGAGTCGGGACTGGGTCCCCCTTTTGTTTTGAGGCTTCGGTGTTCCGTAACAACTGCTGTTTGAGCCCAAAAGGGTTTAGGGTTCAGGGTTCAGGGTTTAGGGTTTAGGGTTTAGGGTTTAGGGTTTAGGGTTTAGGGTTTAGGGCTAGGGTTTAGGGTTTTGGGTTCGCTTATCATTCCTAGGTAAGCTGGGGATCTAGAGGAATACCCGGACACCAAAGTAGCTAATATGCAGTCTGTCTTGAGGTTTGAGAGCCGACTTTATAGGTACATGGACCGTTTGGGTACTACTGGCTAGTAGGTACATGTAAGGTTTTGGGTACTTCGCGAGAGTTGAGGGGGGGGCCTCTGATATTACCAATTTCAAATCCATGTCGAGCTAGCTCTGGCTACAAGGTGGCCACACATAGGAAACCTGATTAGGGTATAGGGTTTAGGGTTGACGGTTTGGGGTTTAGGGTTTGGGGTTTAGGGTTTAGGGTTTGGGGTTTAGGGTTTGGGGTTTAGGGTTTAGGGTTTAGGGCTAGGGTTTAGGGTTCAGTGAGAGGATGGCCCCTTTGATTTGGCCGTCATCGACGCGGATAAGGCCGCGTGCTCCAACGGCTGGTAGAGTTTAGGGTTTAGGGTTTAGGGTTTAGGGTGTATAGGATTTAGGGTTTCGGGTGTAAGGTTGAGGATTGCCCAGATTGTCCCCTTCGAAGCCTTACCCCAAGGGTCCGTGTACCTATAGGCTATGCTTGGGCCTTAAAGTACCTCCTGTATACGGACTGTTGGGGCCCAAGTATATAGTAGTAAGGTACATGAACTCTTAGGGTTACATGCATAGATGCCATCAACTGCACAACACATACCCGTTGGTATGTAAAGTTGGCTCCCTGGAATGACCGAACCCCAAAACCCCGAAACCCTAAACCCTAGACCTCAACCACCCAAAACCCAAGCCCTAAGCCGCAAACACCAAACCCTAAACCCTAAACCCTATAGACCCTACACCCTAAGCCCTAAACCCTAAACCCTAAACCCCAAACCCTAAACCCTAAACCCTAAACCCTTTAGGAATTCCGAGCTTGCAGCTTTTGCTTTTATAAGCATTCCGTGCCAGCGAAGGCTCCCCGGCCAGAATGGGTAAGTTTCCTTAACTCTGAACCCTTCCTATAGACCCCAAACCCGAAACCTTAAACCCCAAGGGCTATAGGGTTTAGGGTAAGGATAGGCTTTTGGGTGGTTTTGGGTTTTGGGTTTTGGGTTTTGGGTTTTGGGTTTTGGGTGTTGGGTGTTGGGTTTTGTGTTTAGGCATGTAGACTAGGCGGTTTAGGGTTCAGCAGCTCCTGGGTGGTGCAGTCTCTAGTCGAGCTTGGTGCCTCGGGCTAGGAAAATGCCCACCACCCCAGATAATCCCAAAGCATGTAGGGTTTAGGGTTTAGGGTGTAGGGTTTAGGGTTAGGGTTTAGGGTTAGGGTTTAGGGTTTAGGGTTTAGGGTTTAGGGTTTAGGGTTTAGGGTTTAGGGTTTAGGGTTTAGGGTTTAGGTAACATTCTCCACACAGCCGATTTCAATCTCAAACACCAAACGGGCCTTGCCCACGAATACTTGTGACTTGCCAACGAATTTCATTCATGCTTAAATTGTCATGTGCTAGAGAGGGTTTAGGGATTTAGGGTTTGGGGTATACGGCCTAAATCCGACACCCTAAAACCCTCGACACACCCTAACAGCGCGCACAGGATAGCATCTGGAGCTACTACTGCACGCTTCGGGACGAGGCTTTCCAAACTCCGGGCCTTCGGGCTGAGGGTTTAGGGGTGAGGGTGTGTGGGGTTTATAGGGTTTAGAATTTATGGGGTTTGTAGGGTTTATGGGTTTATGGGTTTATTGGGTTTATAGGATTTAGGGTTCAGGTTATAGGATTTGGTGAGCTTCTGGCTCATATACGGCAAGTTCTCAAAGCCGCTTTTCTACAACGATAACCTGGTTCTACAATTCTGCATCTCTGGGGAACCCGTACACAAAAAAAAAGGCATCGTGCAAAACCCTTTGTTCGGGAACCGCGTTCTTTTCCCCAAACCCTGTTTCTCCCAAGCGACCTACTTTTTCCTGGGTTTTGGAACCTCAACTTCTAGCTTCGAGGTCCACAAGCTTCCATGGCTTCAAGTCATTTGTTTGTTAGGGGGGGGGGGCTTAGGATTTTAGAGTTCTTCCCTAATTTCAATTTTTGTTTTTCTTTTTTTTTTGAAGGGGGTGCGTTGGTTGTAAGATTCTACTACGAGATCCGCTGCGCTTCAGGTTAAGGCTTGAAAGTCGGGCGTTGGTGTATTGAGAGGGGGGTTGCGGGAGGAGGAAGCTGCACCAGGACGCCGACGGGTTTTCCTGAGGGAGGCGCCACCGCCACGTCCTCTGCCTAATCACCCTAAACCCTAAACACTACAGCAAGCCCTAAACCCTAAACCCTAAACCCTAAACCCTAATGAGGTGATCGCAAGGGACACACAGCTGCCAGCACTGTGTGAAGAAGCTGGACTCCAAATCCAAGCGCGCAACTTCGGCCCGCCCTGCGCTCTACTTACTTCGCCTTTAGTTGAACTTTAAACTTTTTGGGTTTGCTTATATAGTAGGAATATTAAAATTTAACCTGTTTTCCCCTTGGTCATTGGAGAAGTAAGTCTAAGACTTGGTAGCCAAATGGTACCCTTTACCCCTTTTTTTGGGCTCTCTGGGTTCCCTTATAAAGGAACCAACCAAAAAGGTACCCTTTACCCTTTTTTTGGCTCTGGGTTCCCTTACAAAGTAACCAACCAAAGAAGTTTACCCCTTTTTTGCTCTGGGTTCCCTTATAAAGTAACCAACCAAATAAAGGGTGCCCTCGTTATAGTATGGTTACTGGGCTATTGCTCTGGGTTCCCTTATAACATAACCAACCAGAAAAATGGGTGCCCTCATGATAATCTGGTTACTGGGCTACCAAGAGAAGAGGAAGCTCGACCCGAAGCTCGCCAGAGAACGGCAAGGATGTCGTTCAAGGGGTTGCTTTCTTAAGGGATCTCATATTCCCTAAGTCCTGTACCCTGAATCCTGAACCCTAAACCCTGAGCCCTAATTATAAACCCTAACCACACGTGCATGTTCATTATAAACCCTAACCACACGTGCATGTTGAGCTTAAGCCCCGCTAAACGCTGAACCCGAAACCTTCAACCCAAAATACCCTTGCCATCCCTTGGTTCCCTTAGCCCTATACAACCTCAGTCTCTTGGGGTAGTTGCATGGTCCCTTACTATGGGCCCTTAAAGACGAACCCAAGGGCCCATACGTCAGAACCCTGCAGAATGGGACCCGCACAGAACCCCCCTTCGAATGCAACCTCCGTCGGGACAGGGCCTACTTTCCTCGAAAGCAGCCATCGTGGTGGACACCACCCCCTACAAGGCTGGCGCACCTTTTTAGGAGGCTTGCGGGATGTTCTTAAAGCCCTGAAGCCCTATCAAGCCCTGAACCCTACAAGCCCTACCTTCACTTTAACCCTCAACCCTAACCTTACACCCAACCCTCACGCCCTCCGACCCCCAAACAACTCCCTAGGCCCCAGGCCCCACACCTTAAAACGAACTGGTTCTGGCGCCTTATTCTGGCTGTTTCTAAGTAGGTTCTTAGTAGGGAATGAGGTACCCTATGTAAACCCTTAAAGGGTCTATATAGGGCCCTATTTCCCTCATTCCCTACTAAGAGCCAGCGGGTATTTTGCCTCTGGTTCGTTTCCGGCCTGACATGGTCGGATTTACTGCAAGGCATTAGCAGCTTTTGCCCCCCCCCCCCCTGCTACGCCACATTGTAGTTCTGCAGCCCTCAACCCCCGAATGCTGCAAAAACCTGAACCCTAAACCCTAAGCCCTAGACCCTAAGCCCTAAGCCCTAAGCCCTAAACCGTAAGCCCTAAGTCCTAAACCCTAAGCCTTAAGCCCTAAGCCCTAAGCCCTTAGCCCTAAGCCCTAATCCCTAAGCCCTAAGCCCTCAACCTGACAAGGACTCCTCAAGGCTTCTAACTGGTCCCCTTCAGAGCTCAGAAGCCTCCCGAAAACCCCTGGAATATCTGAGAAGCCCTGAATTTGAAAAGCCTTAAACTGGGCTTTGGAGTACCAATTTTTAATATTTTTTGGTTTTGGGGTTCCTATTGTAGCTACTTATACCTAAAAAGTATATACTGTTTTTCCAGGCTTTACTCCAGAGTAGGGTGAAGGCCCTTGACAAATTCCCTGAAATCCCCTAAAGCCTCCGCCTCTCCCAAGCGCCTGACAAACCCCCAAAAGGATGTTACCTAGACCTTATAAACCCTAACCCCTCCACCCTAACACCCGAACACCCTAACGCACGAACACCCTAACACACTCACACCGAGAGCGTGCCTAATCCCCGACAGGAAGAAAAACACACACCCGACAGAACATTTGGGTGCCCCGGCAAGCTTGTACTCACCCTAAACCCTAAACCCTGAACCCTAAACCCTAAACCCTAAACCCTAAACCCTAAACATGCTTGTGCGGGCCCCGGTCCGCAGCATCCCTTGGCTTGGCGAATTTCATTGAGGATTCAGACCCCAAAATAAGCTTTCTTGGGCTTACTCACTCTATATCCCCCTTGGGTTTCGGGTTTCGGGTTTAGGGTTTAGGGTTTAGGGTTTAGGGCTAATTCACTCAAAATCCCCCTTTGGGTTTTTTTGTTCATAAAAAACCCATGAGGATAGTAAACATATGACCCAAAAAAACTTTCTTGGGCTAATTCACTCTATATCCCCCTTGGGAATTTGTTTTATTTTTGTTCATGTTACCCCCAAGAGGATAGTAAAAATATTTTCTAATTCACTCTATATCCCCCTTGGGATTTATGTTTTTGGTTTATTTAAACCCCAAGAGGATAGTAAACATATTAGTTTTATTAAGGTTCTAAGGGGAGTGTGGCACTGAGGAAATAGACCCAGGAGTAGGCCAACGTGGTCGGCTATGGAAAGTTCACTCCTCGGCTTGGGTCTGAGATGCAGCTGGGACAGGAGGAGGTGATGGTTCACATGGTCCGGCATCATCTGACATGGCTAAACAGAGCCTTTGCGAGTTGGACTGCAGCCTACGACCAGAAGGGCTAGGCAAGCAGATGAACCGAAGCTCCCAAGTCGTACTGCAGAATGTTACGGCCGTAGTAGGCAGTGTCACAATTTACGGCGAAGCTATTGTCCAAACTTCGTGCAGACTCAAGCACGAAACCCGAAACCCTGAGCCCTTAACCCTAAACCCTAGACCCTAGACCCTAAACCCTAAACCCTAAACCCTAAACCCTAAACCCTAAACCCTGAACCCTAAACCCTAAACCCTAAACCCTAAACCCTAAACCCTACCCCCCACACAGAGCCCACCCAAAAAAGCCCCCGGGGCAGGGACAGCCACCGGACCGCTACGTGCGATTCGGCGCGGAGGAGCGATGGCAGTCCAACAGTGGCAAGGCCGGGCGAGGGTGTTTTGGGGTGTTAGGGTGTTGGGGTGTTGGGGTGTTGGGGTTTAGGGTGTTAGGGGTTGAGGGTTTAGGGTTCAGGGCCAGGGTGTAGGGTGTTAGGGTTTAGGGTGTTGGAAAACACAGTGTCTAGGGTTTAGGGCTTAGGGTTTAGTTAGGGGTTTTAGGTGTAGGTTTTCGGATGTGAGCCGTTTAAGTAGGGCTCGTTTTGGGTTTGTAGGGGTTTAGGCTTTAGGGCGTTTAGGGTTTAGGATCAAAAAAGGTTTAGGATTTAGGAGTCCGAAGGGTTTAGGGGCTTTAGGGTTGCGGTTCAGGGTTAATTGTTCAGGGATACAGGCTTATAGTGTAGGATTAAGGATTAGGGTTTAGGCGTTTCGGGTGTCGGGGTTTAGGTTTAGCTTTGTAGGGGTTAGGTGTGAGGGACTGAGGATTTGTTTTAATCCTAATGCAGCAGGTTACAGTGCTGGGTGTTTCACACGATGGCTGAGGAAGGTTCAGGATTTGGGCTTCAGTTCCCCAAGGCCCCCTCAACCCTGAACCTGAAAAAAGGTTTAGGGTTTAGGGTTCAGGTTTTAGGGTTTAGGGGGTAGGGTTTGGGGTTTGGGCTTTGGGGTTTGGGGTTTGGGGTTTGGGGTTTGGGGTTTGGGGTTTGGGGTCTATGGTTTAGGGTTTGCAGACCGTGGGCTTCTGCATCGAAAAGCCCGAACCCTGGGGATCTTCCTTTGGCTCCCGGAACAAAGACCCCACCCAGTTGAATCCAACCGCCGCTCTCGTGACGGTGAATCGTAAGCAGCAATCCCCGCCCCCACTCACTCAATGCTTCAGTAGGTTTTAGGGTTTAGGGGTCTGGTGTTTTATCATGTAGTGTGCTTATGTTTTAACCGCTTGGAATTATCTTTCTAGTGGTTGGTCAAGAATGAAGGAGCAGCAAGAACCAGCAACACGATGCAAACATTCACCTGCTTCAGAAGGATTTAGGGTTTAGGGTTTAGGGCTAAGGTTTAGGGTTTAGGGTTTTAAGGCTTAGGGTTCTGTTGGCGTTTAGCCCAGGAAGCGATTGAAGACGCACTCAATAGATTTCAAAAGGAGGCCGGGGCCGGGGAGGGTTTTGGTGGACTGGTTTGGGGGCTTGGGCCTTTTAGGGTTTAGGGTTTAGGATCTAGGGTTTAGTCTCAGTGGTTGGCTCTAGGGATTCAAGCGTATAATACCCTAAGTCCCAAGTCGTGGATCATTTAACCCCACGACCAAAGGGCACTGGGCTACCTAGCCCCTCATCGACACCCCCCCCCCCCCATCTGTCCCGACCTTCAGGACCCCTGAAAATCCCGAACCCCTCAACTCCCCCAAAAAGGGCTTAGGGGTCTAGGGTCTAGGGCTTAGGGCTTTGGGCTTTGGGCTTTGGGCTTAGGGCTGAGGGCTAAGGGCTTTACGAAGCGAAGGTGCCCATGCTTGTCCTAGAACCCAAACAATTCCGCGTAATGCAGGCTGCATGAGGGGAATGAAAGGCCCTGGCACCTGAGTAGCTTCGCAGTCAAAGTACCACAGGCCTGAGATCCTAAGTAACAATATCAAGGTGTAGGGTTTAGGGTTCACTCATGTTGCGTTTCGGGCATCTTGTATTCTACTTACACCTAGAAGGCCTAATCCCAAAACCGCAAACAAACAAAGAAACACACACACACACACAAGCAACGTAAACAAGCACCCAAGTAGGTAGCTGTTTTACGTTTTGGTTTAGTGTCAGCGTGACCCCAACGCCGACGACAGATCAACCCAACCTTGAAGTGTAAATCATCTCTCTCTCTCTGAACCTCTCTCTCTCTCTCTGCCCTTCTCAAGAGCATAGCCGGCTGCGGGCTGCATTCAGTCATTTGGCGTTTAGGGTTTGGGTTGGCAGGTGGAGTACGGGAGCAGGGTTCAGGGTTTAGGGTGTAGGGTGAGGGTTTAGGGTTTAGTAGGGTTGAGGGTTTAGGGTTCCCCTAAACCCCTAAACCTCAAACCCTAAACCCTAAACCCAAAAGCATTCAGCAGGGCGCCGTCACCATGGCATCTTTCGCCGGGGTGGCCTCCCCAGATGCGGCGAAGTCCACGCAGCTAGCGCGTAGGGCCCTGTATTGGTTTAGGGTTTAGGGTTTAGGGTTTAGGGTTTAGGGTTTAGGGTTTAGGGTTTAGGGTTTAGGGTTTAGGGTTTAGGGTTTAGGGTTTAGGGTTTAGGGTTTAGGGTTTAGGGTTTAGCGTTTAGGGTTTAGGGTTTAGGGTTTAGGGTTTAGGGTTTAGGGTTTAGGGTGAGGGTTTGGGGTTTAGGGTTCAGGAGGCATGTTTTAGGGCTCATTCGCATCCGAAGTGCTTAGCATGGAGCTACTGTCGGCGAGTCTTGGCGGGTTGTAGAGTTTATAGTTGTTTCAGGGTTGTCAAGTTTGTTGCTCGCATTTAAGATCTTGGGTTTAGGGTGTGGCGTTTCGGGCTTAGGGCGTCAGGGCTTTGCTTTCACCTTACTGCTCCTGGCCCGCTATAAGGTCACCGTGCTGTACCCGCGCCAGAACGGGGGCAACGGCGCAGCCTGAGGTTCCACCGTTTGGAAGGATCCTGCACCTTCCCTGCTCGGGGTCCCTAAAGCCCGAAAACCCTAATTAAACCCTACCAAACCCTTTTTAAACCCTAATTGAACTCTAATGAAACCCTAATTAAACCCTAAAGCCCTACACCCCACAAACCTGCTAAATCCCTGGACGTTTAAAGGCCAACCCAGTTGGCCATCCCCCTCGGAGCACACCGTAGGTATCCCACAGCACAACTATATCTTGGCACCTCCCTGGGACCCCTCTTTGCCTTCAGCGTTGTGCGTTTTACCTACTACTTAGGGCGCGCCCCTAAACCCTAAACCCTAAATCCTAAACCCCAAACCCTAAACCCTAAACCCTCCTAAACCCTAAACTGTGGGTAAATATAAAGTCCCAGGTCATTGTTGCATAAACGGCGGATCATGCGCCATCTCCCGACTCTAAGGTTGGAAAAAGGGGCCCCCAGTCTGGTCCCTATTAGACTTGTTTCAGAGGGATCCGAAGACTCAACCTTAAAACCTTATAAACCTTCAACCCTAAACCCTAAACCCTAAACCCTAAACCCTAAACCCTAAACCCTAAACCCTAAACCCCAGTATTCTGTGTATGTAGGGGCTTTCTTAACAAGGGGACCCACATGAAAGGCACATTTTTTGGAACCTTGGAGGTAGGGAGTCATGCCCCATGGCAACCCTGAAGCCCTCAGCTGAAATATCTGAGAACCTTAAACCCTAAACCCTAAACCCTAAACCCTATCCCCTAAACCCTAAACCCGAAACCCTAAACCCTAAACCCTAAACCCTAAACCCTAAGCCCTAAGCCCTAAACCCTAAACCCTAAACCCAACAGAATCTCAGAGCCAGGAGCCCTTGGGCAGAGTGACATGCGCCGGTCGGGGACAGGACAGCGCCCATGTGAGCCCAAAAGGGGCCCCCGTGGGCTTCCAGACTATTTTGAGGGTTTAGGGCTTGGGGTTTCTAGACTGTTGCCTATACTGTAAACCTTGAAACCTACGCCATCGTCATTCACACCGACCCTTTTGGTTGACCACTGCCATCTAGCAACTGTGCCGGAGAGTGGGTCTTTCAGCCTGCGGCTCAGTGTTTAAGGTTTGGGGTTTGGGGTTTAGGGTTTAAGGTTTATATAGGCAACCGTATGAGCTGCCTACATCCTCGCTTGTGACCAAGTTGGCAAGTAGGGGTGGATCCTCTGCGAGTCAGCGGAGGGGGCGCCCTAAACCATTGTAAGCCCGAAGTCGAACAGTCCGTGTTTAGGGTTTAGGGTTTAGGGTTTTAGGGTTTAGGGTTTAGGGTTTAGGGTTTAGGGTTTAGGGTATGAGTTTGCGGTCCTGGCGAAGCCTGCCTGCGGCCAAAGTCTTATATATACACTCTTTGCCTGCGCCGCGTGGATCTATAGTAGGCTGGTATTCTAGTAGGGGAGGCCAGCAGCTACCTAAGCCCTGAACCCTAAACCCTGAACCCTAAACCCAAAACCCTAAACCCTGTAACCCTAAACCCTAAACCCCTGAAGGCTCATCAACCCGCAGCTCGAATTCCTAGTGAAGGGGTATCTGGATCACACACACACACACAGACGTTGAGGGTCTGTATGAATCCTAAATTCCTGCCACTTGGGTCTTTGCGTGGGGTTTAGGGTTTAGGGTGTAGGGTTTAGGGTTTAGGGTCAGGGTGTCCTCTTCTCGCGCCGCCACTCAGAAGTAGGAGGCTTGGCACTTAGCACTAATTACTAGCCTCCAGGGGTAGTTTCCCTAATGTGGTCCCTTACATCCTTTACAGGTTCAGAAGTATGGGCCCCTTTTTTTATAGGGTATTCAAGAGGGTATGTAAGCGGTCCCATTTAAGGGCTCAGGGTTTAGGGATTAGGGTTGAGGGTTTAGGGTCTGCATAGGCTTGGTGGGCTTTAGCACTCAGAGGAAGGTGTTTAGTTCCTGCGCTGCAACCGTGTCTACTTCTTTTTTGTACTGCGGTCAGAGATGGAACCTTCCACAAGCTTCTCAATGTTCCTAACCCAATAGAAGGCGCACCCTGTGTTCCAGGCGTAGTTTGGGATCTACTGATATGGGAGTTTCCGACAATAAGGGAGCCCCAATATAGACCCCAAATAGTAGGATTCCCTCAAAATCAGGACCCCAAGCAGGTGCCCCTAAGTTCGGAGACCCCGTATGCTAACTGCTAGCTAGCAACCCTAAACCCCAAAACCTAAACCCTGAACCCTAAACCCTAGAAAATCCCTGGCGTTTTTCAAATTGCCTACGGAGGCTGCGGTGGCAAAGAGGCTTTTCAACTCTCGAGAATCTTTTGTTGCTGAGAAGCTGCCTCGGCTGGGAACAAGCTTCCAGAGTAGTTATTCACAGCTGGCACCGCGCGCTCTGGGTTGTCCGTCGAAGCTATTACTTTAATCCGAGACCCTCAACCCTAAACCCTAAACCCTAAACCCTATACCCTAAACCCTAAACCCCAAACCCCAAACCCCACACCCCACACCCCAAACCCAACCCCCTAAACCTTAGTTTAAACAGGGTTTAAAGTTCAGGGGCAGAGAGACAGAGAGAGGGAGCGGGAGGGCGAGCCAAAGTAGATATTTTGGGGCGATGTTCTCGTTTGTTGCTGTCTTCTTGAGGGTTTAGGGTATAGCGGCTTCGGGTTCAGGTTTTAGGGTTTAGAGAGCCTAGGGAGTTGAGGCTTTGGGTTCTAGGGTTTCAGTACTAGACAGGACAGGCTGCATGTCTGACTGATGGACGGACAAGCCTTGGGCCGAACTTTCAAATGCGGCATTTAGAGCCAGCGGAGCAGCGCAAGTTGCGGATTTCAGACAAGGTTGTGCCTCACGTTGAAGATAGGGCTTTGTCGGGTTTCTGGGTTTATAGGGTTTATAGGATTTGTAAGGGCTTATGGGGTGTGTAGGGTTTCTTGGGTTTACAGGGTTTAGGGCTTTTAGGCCTTACGGACCTTGTGGGCTTAGGGCTGAGAGGTCATGCCCTGTAAGCCTAAGACTCTAATCCCTAATTAAACCCTAAACCGCCAAATCTAAACTAGACAATCGCTAAACTCTAAACCCTAAACCCTAAACCTTAATTCCTAAACTCTAAACCCTAAAGCCTACACCCTGCCCCAATTCCTAAACTCCAAACCCTAAGCCCTAAACCCGGAAACCCGGAAGGGTCACTTCAACTGACGATGTTTAGGAGTTTGGTAATTTGGGGTTGATGAGTTTACAATGCTGAGCTTTTGCATCCCACCTCCGAAACGGACATGGGTTTCAAGGGCTTTGGCTTGGTAGAGTGCAGGGCGCCTAACCCTAAACCCTACACCCTACACCCTACACCCTACACCCTAAACCCTAATTAAACCCTAAACCCTAAACCCTAAACCCTAAACCCTAAACCCTAAACCCTAAACCCTAAACCCTAAACCCTAAACCCTAAACCCTAAACCCTGCCTAGTACAGGATTCTGGGTGCAGGGTTTGGACCCGCAGCGGTGTTCCTCAAGCGCATCATGAGTCCTCGCAAGCCCCTCCAGCACCTCGTAATACCCTAAACCCTAAACCCTAAACCCTAAACCCTGAACCCTGAACCCTAAACCCTGAACGAAAGCGGAGAGACAAGAGTTGCAGACCATGGCAAGCCGCGCTGCCAACTCCAACCTCTTCCGAGTTCCTTGCTTCCTTCGTAAGCTTTCGGGGGCTTAGGGTTTAGGGTTTAGGGTTTAGGGTTTTTAGGGTTTAGGGTTTTATCCCTCATCCCTATACCCCGAACCCTAGGGTTTGAGGGTTGAGGGTTGAGGGTTGAGGAGCTAGATCCTTGCAGTCTTGCGCTGCGGGTCTAGAGCCTATCCAGACACTCACAGCACCCACAACTATAGCCTGGAGCCCCACAACAAGGCGTCTTTAGGCCATGATCACACGTGCTTGCGGGAACCGGCTAGCAGGGTTCTCAATATAGGGGCCTTAATAATAGGGGTTTGGGGGGGGGGGGGGGGGGGGTGGTTCTTATAGTATATAACTATCTAGGGACCATAAGGGAATACTATTTGTAATTTGTCCGACCCCAATATCATGGTAGTTGAAAGGCCCCTGAGCCAACCCCGCCTGAAACCCAACAAAGCAAAACCCTTAAACCCTAAGCCCCTAGACCCCTAGACCCCTAAGCCCTTAGCCCCACAACCTTAAACATTGAGCCCCTAAACCCTAGACCCTAACCCTCAACCCTGAACCCGAAATTCCCGGAGAACGTCTCCTCATCACAGTGCCCAGGTCTTCCAATCTCCCAGATATCAATCAGGGTTATTCCTCGACAGCTAGGGTATTGGGTTTAGGGTTCCGGGTATCGTGCTGCGAGTTCTTCGAGCTGAGCCCTAAACCCTAAAACCCTAAACCCGAACTAGGACCCGGAGTAGGCCCTTATTCCGTTTTTGGGGTTTAGGCTCCCGTATAATCTCCTTTTAGCCAAAATGGGTGCCCCTTTTATACCTAGGTTACTCTTGGGTCTAGCGAATATGCTCTTCATTATGGGATTTTGGCATAATAAACCCTAAACCCTAAACCCTAAACCCTAAACCCTAAACCCTAAACCCTAAACCCTAAACCCTAAACCCTGAACCCGAAGATATGCCACTAGCTTAGGCCGGCCATGCCGCCATCGTCCACCGACGGCAGCAAGGCTTCGTTTCAGTTCCAATCGAGGCCTGTGCGACCTTACCCTAAACCCCAAACCCCAAACCCCAAACCCTGAACCCTGAACCCTAAACCCCAGAACCCTAAACCCTAAACCCTGAACCCTAAACCCTAAACCCTAAACCCTAAACCCTAAACCCTAAACCCTAAACCCTAAACCCTAAACCCTAAACCCTACCCTAAGAACCCTGGATCTACGTTTGTCTAGGCGCTTGAGGGTTTCTTGAGGCTCTCTCATAGTTGATGATTTGGTTTAGGGTTCAGGGTTCAGGGTTTAGGGTTTAGGGTTTAGGGTTTAGGGTTTAGGGT